CTGGACTGCCTGCGTGTTGGAAGGAGCACTTGCTTGAGAACACAACCAAGAAATAAAAAAAAATCAGCGTTTGCGGAATGACCAGCGAGTCTGTCACCCGGCGTGAGGGCTGAGCTACATCCCTAATGTCAAAGCTCTCTCGCGCGATGGCCCACCCCCATCCATCTCAAAGCACTAGGTGGGGGTGACCCTAGGACGAACGACCCGCACCCTTAGCATGAGCATGGGCGGGCCGAGCCAAATGGGACCCGCAATGGGGTCGACCAAGGCTCGAAAGTCTACCGGGGTTTGGCCCTACAACGGGCGATCGTGCTTCGTCCTCGGTCGTTATCCCGTCGTCCCCTTGACTTCCTCACAACCCACCAATTCCTGGGTCGACCCCCATTTCCTGATGGATGGTGCCCCTTCCCGCCCACTTTCTTCCACCAGTTTTACGCCACCCGCCTTATCGTCACCGTTGTCCCGCATGCTACCACCCGTTCCTTCGTCGCCTCTTTCCCTCTCCATGTCCTTCTCTTCAGCGCGACCTGGTGGGAATATAATAATATAAAAGTTTATTGTATCATCTCGGGTACAATTCCCCGCCTGTAAAAATTATGAGAGCTTCTGCGCTCAATCCCATGCACCCTCTCCACTCTCTACCCCGACTATCTCGCCTCTCTCCCTCATCAACGCGCCCACCCCCGATTCCCCCGCATCCACCGCACCGTCCATTACACCCGGATCCCCACCAGCGACAAAGAGATTCGTTGCTTCATACCTCCCCTTCCACAAGTCCATCCACCACCTCCTCCATCCTTTATCAGATTACCATTCCCGAGAAACGTTTTGGATTGAGCGCACACATGCCACGTTGGATGACTTCCACACTCAGATCCTACGGTAAGTGGCACGTGTCAGCTCCGCGCCGATCGTCGGACCAACCGATTGGTGCCTCATGAGAGAGCAAGCAGGAGCTTGCTCAAGATTGGAACCCCCTGGGCATCACATATGTGACAAACTATTTTTTGTAATTGCGCGACTTTCTGCGCGAAGCTGCTTGGGAAAATATGACGGGTCGGATGGGTGAACTGTGGGAAGTTTCTTTTCGTTTTTTATTGGGCATTGTTGGATTGGTGTCGGAAAAAACCCGTGCCAACGGTTGGATAATCGCGCCTTGGCGAGCGCAAGAAATAACTGTACCATAGCTTTCTTCTTGTTCTGCTGTGAGCACTGGGAATTTTTGCGCGATCATCGCGTGGGAATATCATTTTTGAATTTTCAATTGATGCCGAGCCCCCACGGGCTCGCGGAATTGTTTTTCTTTTCCGCTTTTTCGGAATTTCCTTTTGCAATTAGGACTTAGGCTAGGAATTTAGGTACTCTGAATTTTGTTGCGCCGCGTTTGCGTGCATCTTGCTGCGCTGGGAACTGGACTCTGACTGGATTGTGCCCTTAATCTTGTGTAACTGTCGTTTTTGGCGGGCGCGATTCTAACTGTATCTTTCTTCTTTCTTGGTTTCCTTGTGTTTGCCCATCTTCTTCTTCTTCCTGTTTTAATTGGTCAAAGCGCCTGCATGACCAGTTCGATGCGTGGAGTGTGGCTACGACCCCCATGTCGCGGCTTGGCCATGCAGACGTAGGCACTTGCTCTCTTCTCCTCTTGTCCACCTGGGCTTAATCCTGTACCTTTCGCGCAGGCATGCATGCTATAAATTTTGCAAGCACGATTAGTTTGCTCTGTAAGAATTTCGAGGTAAGCGTGATTAGTGAGGGTCGGCTAACGAGCAAGTTTGGAAGGTAAGTGAGTGCGAGAGTTTGGCGATCCGACGAGCTGGTGCTGAGTATGCGGGGTTGATGTGCGGGTCGCGACGGACTGTGGCGCACGAGTGAACCTGGCTTGCATATTTGGACTAAGCGGGGTGACAACTCTGTGTGGATGCGAGGTGACAAACTTTCTGCATCAGGGGTAGAGAGAGAGAGAGAAAGAGAGAGAGAAAGAGAGAGAGAGAGAGAGAGAGAGAGAGAGAGAGAGAGAGAGAGAGAGAGAGAGAGAGAGAGAGAGAGAGAGAGAGAGAGAGAGAGAGAAGTTGTAGGTGTGGAATGAGGTTTTTTCCTTTGTCCCTTTCTTTCCTTTGTTCATCTGTATAATTTTGAATCCTGATATGGCCGATTTTATCGAGGTCTTTTTGGACTTCTCTTGTCAATCGTCTCGGATTTTCCTTGTCGTTTATACGTCGTATGTATGCATGGAATGAATGTGAATTCCCTTTTATTAGCGATCTTTTAAGATTTCCAATCTTGTTTTGTGATGCCTGTTTCGTCTCTATCTACTATTCACTTGCGTGAGCTATACACTCAGATCGGATTGAAAACGCTCGTTATGAATGTTTGGGTTTAGTCGCTAACTTGAACTTTTAGTCACCAAGAGTGTTGTGAGAAGTTGATTGTCCCTCTTTCTTCCTTTTCGTCACATGTATGGCATGTAATGACCGAATCTCACCCATCGTAGCATGAGTAGGATATTTGCATGTATGTCGAACGTGATCGGCACACTGAACCAATCCGTTGTTTCTCAGATGCACGCTCGCGTACGACCGCGATCTCGAGGAAGCCGAGTCGTCGGGTACGCGCTCGTCTGCGTGATCCAACCTCGAACCCCGTATAAGGATGCAGGGGACTGAGCTTGCCAAACGGATATGGCTGCAAAATTTCCCTCTTGGATGTCCGATCGTGAGAGCCCAAGGGACCCGGAATATCACGAATACTGGGAAAGTGAACAACTCAGACGGCGGGGGAACTTAAGAAATTCGGAATTCACCTGTCTGACAGAGAACGACCGATTGTGCGCAAGGGACTTTCACTGTGCCGTAACTAATGATCCCAGGGGCCCCGACTACCCGGATACTTATAACACGCAATATTTCATATTCCCCGGCTTCGCCGTTATTACCATCAGTTTCCCTCCCTTTCACCTCCTACTTCCATATCACCAACTCACAGTGGTGCTGTGGAATTCCATAGCCCGCTATTGGCCCCGCATACCGTGCGAAAAGTGTCGGCGGCACCAGGCATATCGAGCCTCGAGAATCACTCGGCGAGCCCGAACCGAAGCCGAGCAGCGCCGACAACTGGTCGAACCGCGCGACCAACCACGCAGGCGAAACCAGAGGAGATGGCGATTCCCATTTTCGGGCTTGAAGGCTTACGAAAATTGAGTTCGTTGGCAGGGGCAATGTTGTTGGGATTTTGTTCGAGAATGCAAGAGTGTTTAGATCTGTCGGTGCTGTGATTGTGGAAAAGTACCCCGAGATCTTTAGTCTGGGATGCACTGCACATGCCATCTGCCTTATGTTGCACGACGTCTGCGGCTTTCCTTCTCTGCACAAACCACGAGAGGTGGCTTGCCTTCCTTCTTATGAAAATTAAAGCGCCTAGTACGACCTGCGCATATCCTCTTGCACTTTTACCCCCCAAACTTGCCACATGAGATCTCAGTTCCGACCTGGGACTCCACCCCCACTTTCCTAAAATCCTTGGCACACCCCCTTTTCGCACTTCCGGGGCCCCATCCCACTCCGATCAGGAAGTCGCACTGGGCGTGAGGTTGGGCATCACAGGGCCAGTCAGGGCTTGTCCGTTGAGTCTGCCTAACTCTGGTGCCTCGGTAGGAATCTGGGTAGTAATTGTGGGGCTGATAGGATACTGCTTGTGCCTGGCATCCGAAGTTCCCGGTTGACAAGGTTTGCTTGTCTGTGCTTCAACTAGGGCTGGGAAGACGTTAATAGCTGCTCTGGGCTTGTCTGTGATCCGCCTAAGCCTTGGGTAGGCTGGGTCGGTCCGGGCTTGTCCGGTTGAGGATGCCCAGCCCTGGTGCCTGTAACTGCTACCCCGTCCAAGTCATGCTCTGCGATAATGGGGTGATTAACACTGAGGTAAGATAATGGGAATAGAGGGTGCGCTGGGAGAATTGATGAGAGGATGGGTTGGGAGGTGGTCTCACAAATGGAACAATTGTCAGGACAACCAATGACTGGCTGATGCAGCGACCACCGTGTGTCTGGAACCTGGCCTCTACAACAACCTGGGCTTTTTCTTTATAAAAAGAAAGAAAGGAGCCAATCATTGAAGAAAGTGTACTTGCTCACTGGTCCAGGATAATGGGCCATAGAGAACCAGTCAACCTTAGCTCAGTGGTCTAGCAGAGTGGGCAAAGGAGAGCGCAAGGTTGAGAACGGAGTCATGCACAAGGGATCTCAACCACGCACAGGCGTGTAGACGCCCCGCTGGGAGGGAGAGAGAGGAGGCGAAGAGAGACAAGGCGAAGAAGAGAGACGAGGGAAGGACAGAGAAGGCACAACTGTTGCAGAGGGTGCAGAGCATGGTGGAATGACTACGTGGCATGGTTTTAGGCCTTGCCACACGGCCATCTGAAACGAAATCGCATGTTGGAAAGAATGGCCAGGACTCTCCAAGGTGTAAAGGCAAAAATGGGCTTCTTTTTTTTGGCAGCCCCGAGGGAAAGATGATGCTCCAGGGTAGGAACTCCAATGGCCACAGGCCCAACAAACACTGTTACAGTACTGGAAAGTTGTTTCCATGGGAGACTGGACCCGTTTTCCCAGCAGGTGCTGCTCCCCACCAATAGATGGAGCCTCCCCGGCAGTGCTAATAATGGGCTCCTTCATTGCGTTATGACAATACAACACTGGCCATTTCCCCCTCCTCAAGTACTCCCTGCTACCGGTAGTGTTTGTGAGAAAAGGAACCGACAGTCCGGGGGCCAAGTCCCACCTGCGCGGATCAAGGGGTTTTTTTGGCCGTCGATCTTCTTTATCCACGGGCAATTCATCTTTTGATCCGCGAATTTTTCTCCCACTTTTTTTTCTTCTTTCCAATATAGAATCCTGGAACTCAAAGAAACTCGAAGGACCCGCGAATTTCAGGCGGGCATCCATAGCCCTCGTGCGACCTTCACGAGTTTCCAGACGGGCATCCATAACCCTCGCGCGACTCGAGCGGCCGGGCCGGCCATAACCTTCTTGCACGGTCCATGCACGAAATCCCCCTTCTGATCTGACAGCTACTAGGTTAGTTTCTTTAACACACTCCTCGCGCGATTGTGTGACGAACTGTAAACAAAATGAAACCAGGTAAGCGTGCGGCTAGGTTCTGTGTGCCGACACCCGCCATGGATCAACGTGTGCATGCTCGTGTCAGTGGTCGTCTTCGTGATGCTAGTGATCATGATGGGGATGGTCGTACTGTTGATGGCATGGACTGGTCGACTCTGCCGAAAGATGTGCTTGTGTGCATCTTCAGCTATCTTCCGATGGTAGATCGGTTTCGCGTGGGTGGAGTGTGCTCCAACTGGCGGCTAGCCTCTCGCCATCACCTCTGTTGGACCGAAGGGATCGTCCTGTTCCCACCCTTGCCGTGGAGGAATCGCTCGCCCGCAGCGGCCAAGGATGTCATTCGCCGAAGCAAAGGTAGGGTGATCGAACTCTCGGTGAACTCCGGCGATCACTGGCTGATGGAGCACATAGGAAGGAAGTGCCCTCGGATCGAACACCTCACCTTCCAGCTGGCCTCAGGAGGGGGTGCATGCTGGAATCGTGCGGCCAAGGCCGTGGCGGAGGGCTGTCCGGCGCTTCGATCTCTGGCTTTGTCTATCTTCTCGCAGGTCTCCGACTCGGAGGGAGTCTTCGTTCGTCAGCTGGTCTCCGGCCTGCGCAACTTGGTAGCATTGTCCATTTACACCGGCCCTTACGAGCCCGTCACAGATGATGACGTCAACGTTATTGTGGCCAGTCTGCCTGGATTGCAATCCCTGTATCTATTTGGAACCCTGATCACTGATGCCAGTCTCCATAAGATCGGCGAGAAATTGCGCTGCTTGCGATTTCTAAGTGTGTATTACTGTAACCTTGTGACGAGGGTGGGCGTGGACTCATTGAGGACGGCAAGACAAGATCTTCAAGTATGGTCAAGTTATGATTAGATGGCTTCGCAGAAAGATTGAAAAAGCTATGCATTGGTTGTGATCGGAGAAAAAAAAAGAAAAAAAAAGGATGTGGTCGGAGAAGCAAGTTCTCCCTGTAAGTGTGAGTTTGGGAAAGCTATACGTGCATGGTGATTAAGTATGGTAATGATCAGAGCACGATTCAGCCGGTAGCTCACATCCTCCTCAGTATTGAGAACTGGCATGAGGTGTGCATCGAAGAATTCTGCTATTCTTTTTATCACACCAAAGTAAACGTACATTAGGACTGTGGGAGTATTTGATGGGAGAAAGAAAGGGGGATGGATAGTTTGAATCTGACTCAGTTTTCATAAGTGACAGGTCGATCTTCCTCCTCCTCTCTTATACTACGTCGATCTCCTCCTCTTCCTCTGCCGATGATCTCGTCCTCCTCCTTATCCGTTTGCTGTAAAGCAAGGCTTAACCGATATAGTACGTAGCAAGCAGGAGGGCTCCTCGAAGTTTTGAGGCATGGATTGTGGATTGATTAGAAAAGCGCCTGGGAAAGATGCGGGGAAGAAGGTGGCCACAAGGGAGAGAGAGAGAGAGAGAGAGAGAGAGAGAGAGAGAGAGAGAGAGAGAGAGAGAGAGAGAGAGAGAGAGAGAGAGAGAGAG